AAGCAATGTTAGCTCACCAGGACATCTGGGTCTGAGCTGGGAAATGACACATGCAAACCACGCTCCGGGAGGCAGCATGGCAGAGAGTAACTATGTTCAAACATTGCTTCTAGAACACTCTGTGCACAAGTTCATTATCTTCTCGGTGCCTCAGTTTCCTCATCTATACAGCAGCAATAGCATCAGAACCTCCCTCATGAGGTTTTGGTAAAGATCAATGGAAATTATACACCAAAAACAGTGTCTGGTACCCAGTAAGGGCTCAGTAAATACCTAATGGCTATTATGATGTTTTCTAGGAAAGACGGAATAGTTACTAGCAGAGCCAGAATTCGAAGTCAGTTCTCCTCCTTTCTAATTCAACACTGTTCTTTCATTACATCATGTTTGAAAACAACATATTATTTATTTTCTTGTATGTATTAGCATTTCCCCTTGCAAGACATAGCATCCTTCTTGTCTCAGTTGCAGACATGCTTCCACAATGGTTCCCTTTTGGAAAACAATTTTGATCAATCTCTTTCATTCCTTAATTAATATATCACATTTAGAGGAAGGGCACGGCTCCCTTTGAAAAAACAAGACTTTCAATTTTCAGGGCTTCAGCCACTGACACTGCAACCTGACTTTAAGGCTTATGAAATTACCTATGACATTTAGAATTTAATAAGTATTCTGATTGCTTCTTTGCGTCTGTGGAGAAAATAACATTTATTTTGACCAAATGTTATCTTTTCCCTTTCTCCTCAAATAAATCATACTTATGACCCAAGAGCTTCTGTTGTTTTTTATGATTCATTGATCAACCATGAAAGAACAAACAAATCAAATGCTGAAACTTGGGTGACATCCTATCGGGGATTGTCTCCAGGGGACTGCAGTCTCCCAAAGCATCATGGAATTTAAGAGATGGCAGCTTCCTCAGAGATTCTGTAGTCCAGCTGTGTTCATCTTTATAGATGAGAAAATTAAGCTCAGAAAAGGGGAAGTGACTTTTGCAAAGTCATCCAGCTAGTTGGTGGCAAAGAGGAATTTTGAACCCACTTTTTTTCTGACTTTGAGTCCCCATCGCATCATCCTGAATCAACTCTTCTGCATTATCAGGCAGGCCGAAACCAGCTTGTCCCTTTTTTCTCTCTCTCTTTTTTCTTTTTCTTTTTTCCTCCCCTCCCCCGCCCCCGCCCCCCCACCTCCGAGCTGTTGTTCTCAGTCTAGTTATGGAGGACGTTGTTCATTGGCCCATGTTGGTATTACGAGCATTGAGCTCTACCTGGCTGAGGCAGTTGGTCGCAGGCCATTGGATGGCCACTCACAGAGGCTCATGGCAGCTTATGGCAGCTCGTATGAGCTACCTGCCACTCATGGCAGCCCAGCCCCAGGTTGAGCCGCTGTTCACAATCTTAGGGGTAGAGGGCGCAGCTCACAGGTGCAGCTCACTGGCCCATGTGGAAATCTAACCGGCAATGCTGTTGTTCAGAGCTCGCACTCTTACCAACTTAGCTATCCGGCCATCCCTTGCCACTTGTTTTTGCAAATAAAGTTTTACTGAAACGCAGGCATGCTCACTCATTTACCTAGTGCTTATGGCTGCTTTCCCGCAACAGGGGCAGAGGTGAGTAGTTCCAACAGAGACCACATGGCTGCAAAGCCTAAAATAATTACTGTCTGTCTTTTCACAGAAAAAGTTCATCCATTTCTGCTGTGTGCATCAAGCCTGGTTGAAATTCTATTTTTTGTTTCTGCTCTTTTCATATCAGACACTACTGTCAAAAGTTGAAGAAAGTGGGGTTGGGCAGGAAACGATGGGAAAGGAAAAAGAAGAAAGAGTTAATGTATTTATCTAATTTGGGGAGACTTTTTATGTGTAATCTCAATTAATTCCCAAAAAGATGCTATCAAACTACTATTTTAAGCCCCATTTTATAAATAAGAAAACTAAGGCTCAGAGACGTAAGAGCTAAGTTGCCTAAGCTGATGTCACTAATAATTAGCAGAACTAGAAATTGAATCCAGCCTCCCTCATTCCAAAATTATGTTCTTTCTACTATACCATGTGATTGTCATTCTTGAGGTTAAATTCTTTTTTTAAAAAAAATGTGATATCCTATCCCCCAAATTAAAATCATTTAATGAAAAAATAATATTGTGCACCACATCATGTTCATTACTGGTTAAAGTTGTCTAATTTGTGATGCCATAATCTGTTTTGGTTTTGTTTGGGTGCTCATTTACACAAGTGGGGGAATTAGACTGCAGGAGATGAGAACAGTAGTTTTTGACAATTAGCATTTTGCACCATTAAAGAAAGTTGATGGATTAATAGCTCCTTCAGCATCTAGTAGAATGGAAGTCCTGTGTGTATATCCACAGAAGTAATCACATAGATACCATGTAGATGTGAGTATTTTTAATCAACAATCTCTCCTCTACAAGGCTTGCTACAATTCCCTAAAGCAGCAGTTACCAAGTTTGCCTGATACCTCAATCACCCGTGAAGTCCCTTAAAATACAGATCCCCAGGACCCTCCCCCAGCTCTCTAGTCAGTATATCTGGGTTTAGGTTTGGGAATCTGTCATTTTAGTTTCTTTTTTAACCTCTGAAGGTGGTTCTGATGACCAGGCAGCTTTGAGGACCACTGCTCTGGGTAATGAGCGGATGGGTGTCTGCATCTTTGTCTCCATCCTTCCTGGTCCTCCTGTGTGACCTCAAAGCCTGGTTTCTTCCTCAGCCCCAGGCTGTGGTCCGTGGGCACATGGTTCCCTCTCTTTGCTGAATGAGGCTGGCAGTGGGGGCACCTCACACCCCACAGTGCGTATTTCCTCGGCATCCAGTAAAGTAGTGCAAACACTTTCTGTCTTCGTTGTAGTCACCATGGCTAGTTATGCTTTTATTTCTATCCTTGCCTTTTCCGCTTTCCATTTGATTTGCACAAAAACTTCAAGTGACAAATCTACCCTGATTTCTTCTGCTTCCTGACTACAGAGGTGAAGTTTATAGACACCCAGCATTTAGATGATAAAAGGCTATTATCCCGGGTATCCTGTTATTTATCCCCTTTTCCTTCCTCCCCCCCCCACCCCGCTTTAAAAAAATGTCACTACAACCACTAGATTGTCACTGTGAACCAACAGGGACTTTGAACCCTGAAAATTTGGTGGTCTTCCATGCATTAATTTAAATATTTCCTCCCACTGTGTGGCAGTTATATCAACATAATATAACAGGCTTTTAAATATACATATATAACCACACTCAACCCACATTCATTTTTTTTTCCTTTCCTTTCCTCAATGGTCTTTGTCATTATTACTGACTTTCGGTGAGAAAGATAGTTCTTACTCCCTTAGGTGAGATGTGTTTATTTTTGTCTGTCAGGTGAATGAAGACAAAAATGCACGATGTGTAAAGATTTCAACATATCCGATATTAAAATTAGGATTGATTAGGTTCTAACGAGAACGCAGCAGATATAGAATCTAAAAGGAGAAAAGAGCATGTTTAACATCCCAAGTGGAACAATGTAAAAGATCTATGGAGGTGTTTGGAATTACTGTATCTTACTGTCAGAAAGAAACACAGCTGACAACAGATATGGAGTCAATGAGGACATCAGAATGACACCTGAAAGACCCTGACAAAATACGGCCACCAAGTTGCGATTCATTAGATGAGAAATAGTGACTTTGACTATAATGCAATATACTTTTATAAGCCATTAACATTAGTGGTAAAACGGGAAGCTCTATTACATTAGGGCAATATCTTTCTGCCTCTACAAGATTAACCGAGCACATTTCACAATAGATGTCTCAAGAAATTTGACTAACCATTCATTTAAATCTAAAATGGATAAGCAGCAATTAAATAAGCATTTTATGTCCTGAGTTAGACTGGCCCTAATGAGCAAGTCTAAATCTTGTTTTCAAGATCAAAATTGCCTTTTATGACAGCACCTCCTGGCCAGTCCGTCCTCCTAAGGGACAAGCACTTCCGAGTAAGGGCAAGCTTACCTAACAGATACAGACAGCAAGACACTCTCTAGAAGTCTTGTGAACTGTTCAAAGTCATAGTCTGTTGCAAAGAGCCGACATTATGCTACTTCAGAAAAGTAGTTTTAATTTATTTTTTTTTAAAGATTTTTTTATTGGGGAATTGGGGGACGGGAACAGCGCTGGGGAATTGGGGGAAGGTGAACAGACAAGTTGCTGTCCTTTTGTTCTTCAGTCTAGTTGTGGAGGACATTGCTTCACTGGCTCAAGTTGGCACCATCATTGCGCTCTTCCCTGGAGAGGCAGATCAGTCGCCGGTTTCTGGACGGCTGCTCACACTGGCTGCTGGCTGCTACACATGGTAGCCCATGGCAACCCACTGCAGCAGGGGCTGCAGCCTACGCCATCGCCAGCAACTCACAGGCAGCCCAGCTCCAGGTTGAGCGGTTGTTCAGCATCTTAGCTGTAGAGGGCAGTGTCATTGGCTCTCATATATGGGATTCGAACCTCTGGCATCCCAAGCCAGCTCTTAACCAACGTGCCACTCAGCTGACCTTGAAAAGTAGTTTTAATTTCAAGGAAGTTAAGACTTCTTTACCAACCCCTCCAGTGTCCTTAAAGACAAGAGGCGTAAACTGGGCAGAGAGCCTGGCCATGGTTTCTAAAGCTACTGCCTTTGGCACTTACCAAAAGCTACCACATATTGTTATTTATTGGCTAAGCACCTGACTATCTTCCTGACTAGATTGGAAACATGCCAACAGCAGGGATCATGGTGAGCTGTGGGCGTCACCAACACTTCCTGTGTGCCCTGTTCAGGTGTTTGCTGAAGATAGTGGTGATGACTCGGTAGATAAGTAAATTAGTAAATTAGCAGAATTTAGAAAGGCGAAAGCATCCAACTTCTGCTAAAAAATCAAACAGCTGATTCTTTGCCTTACCTAATGTGGGCAGATCCCTTCTCTGCAGGAAAAATAAATGCAAAATGAGTTAAAAAATTCACACACTGTATCAGTTTATTAATATATACATTTGCTTGCTTAGAAAACACAATAAAGCATAAAACTATCAGAACATTTAAGTAAACCAAACTATAAACGCATATTCACCTTCCCTGATTATTTTTTGGTTGAAAGTCATGCCAATTATATCAGCCTTTGCCAAAATATGGGCTGTAGAACTGGTGCTATAGGATGATAATTGTTATTACAGGTAAAATTGTTTCATAGTTTAGTAATTTGAGGAAATCCTGGGTGAAACAAGGTTAAAAGAAATTTCTTTATTATAAGGTTTCTCAAAAATTTTACATTATGCCAACATGCTTTATGAATCTTCAAGTTTGGAAGGCAGATTGTATGGATTTACTAACATCAGGTCAGTCATTTCATGGAACCACTAAGGGACTATTGGTCCGAGGAACACACTTTGAAACATGCTGAATCAGACACATTTCTGATGTAGGCTCCTTCCGTTAGAGAGATTTCACCATTGAAGACCTGCAATTGTGTAAAATTTCCTGGGATGGTGGTTTTCAATCCCAGTTGCCCATTAGAATCATCCAGGAGCCTTAAACATGTCAGCACCCAGACCCCACTCCAGGCTAGCTAAATCAGGGTCTTTGAGGGTAAGATTTCTGAGCTTATAAAATGGAAATAATAATACCTACAGCACAGGGTTGTCATGAAACATAAATGATGCAGTATGTGTAAATACTTATGCTGGTGCCTGAAACAAAGATCAGTCTTTGAAAAAAAAAATGTTTCTTTCTGGGGATCTTATAGAATTCCAATTAAGAAATGTAGAAGATATGAAAATAGAAAAATCATTATTTGGCCCCCATGGTTTTGCATCCACAGATGCTAAAATTAGAGGGGAGAGGTGTGGTGAGAAACAGCATGTTTGCGTAGTCTCCAAGTATTTCCCCACTACATACTTATTGATTACAAAGGAAAAAGTAGAAACTTTAACAGTGGAAGAATCTGGCAGACCCCATCTTAACTAAGAGATGAAAGGTAACCTCACCAACTGTGAGACATGTCACATCATGTGCCCTCTGATATCACGCACTGAGAAGAACACATCATCACTTCTGTAGTATTCTTGCCAAAAATACATTATTTGGGTTTACTTACAAGGAACATCAGAAAAACCCAAATCAAAGGACATTTTACAAAATAACTGGTCAATACTCTTCAAAAGTGTCAAGATCATGAAAGAAAAAGAAAGACTGAGGAATGATCTCTGGTTGGATCAGACCAAGGAACCATGCTAGCTGAATGCAATGTGTGAGCCTGGATTAAATCAAGGATCAGAAAAAGGATATTAGTGGAGCAACTGATGAAAATTTAATAAACTCTGTAGATTATACATTTTTCAATGTTATTTGCCTGGTTTTGATAATTGTGTTATGTTTATGTAAGACAACATTTGGGGATGAAGAGTGAAGAGTAAATACAACTTCATACTATTTTGCAATTTTTTTGTAAGTCTGAAAACATTTTAAAATGAAAGTTAAAAAATAAGTAAATAAATAATGTTTCTTTATTTCTTACCCATTCTGGGACTTCGGAGATAATAGAATCAGTATTCAAGGGCTTTGCCCTTCTTCCTAGCTATTTAGAGTTAAGGGGAAATAGGACCCTGTACTATATGATATATATATTGAGTAAAAAAGAGGCCCATGATGGGCATTTTAACAAACATTTCATATGATTTTGATAAATATTGTCCCTAAATAAATGTGGTTAGAAGATTTGGTAGAAAAGGACAAACAAGAGATCCAGGAAACTAGGGATAAGAGCAGAGATGGTGGTAAGAGGAAATTCGCTGCTGGAGATAGGGTTTGGAAACAGTTCTTGAATAAGGGGTCAAGGGGAAGAGAGACAGTTGTGGGGTATGGACTGGCTATGAAAGACACTGAGAAGGGCAGAGAAGGGGCAGAGGGGTTTAAAGATCTTTTATTGTCATTGTATTATACTTTTATGTTCTCCTTGGTATTTGCTTGTGAGCCTGCAGTAGAGATTTCTATGTTTTTCTAATTTTTTTCTGTGTTTTTTTCTTGGACTATTACTCTATGATGTTTATGAATATTACTCAAAAGGCTTGGTTATAGTCCTGTTACATTGTGACACAGTCTAGATTACATGCCTTGTTTGAAAGACAAACAACATAACCATTTACCTGGTAGCCCTTTGATGTTATGAAGAAAAGTAGTTTGGCCCTGAGAACTTAATCCCCTTAAGGATGGTGCATATAGTTCTCTGCTGTTGTGCTTGAATAGTGACTACCAACAGTAGACCTGAGGACAATTGCTAGTGTAATATGGCCAGGGAGCTACTTGGGGTCTCTCATGGATTGTCTCCACTTGCTGTGTCCATTTGTTTCTTCCTAATCATTTTCAGGACTGGAAGCCAGAAATGAATCTGAAGAGACAAAAAAGTAGAGGAATGAACATTAAAGTCATTTCAAATGCCTATGACAGAAATGTTTTCTCATGAGGCTTCAGTGTCAAGAAAAATTGCGAAAGACTTTGAAATGGTCAGAAAAGTTTATCCTTGTTGGTTACCTTGGTCTTTCATTGTCAATGAGCTATTTTCTAATTGTGTACATTGTAGATAGCTGATAGCAACAATGCAAGTGATTCTTATCCATGGACTTGCAAATAAATTTTACCCTGTAAGTACAATTGATCCTCCCATCCACCCCTGGAGAAGAAGCCAGTTTTGCATCTATTAAACAAATTAATTTTGGCCTATATATGTGTGTACTTTTAATTGCTCTTTGAATTGGTTGGAATTTCTTACTGTTCTCTCTTTAACTAATAAGTTAAATAAAATCTTTGACAAGCATTTATTTTATATGTGTATGAAAGCCATGTTGGATAATGTGGTATGGATACCATATGTATCCATAAATATACATATAAACCATATATATTTTTTAATGCTGGAGAATAAGCAAATTCTTTGGAGTTTACCAATGTGTAGTAGATATTTCCTTCTCTGTTATTTCTTTTACCCTTGACTTAGTAAAGTAACTCCTTATTGGGCATTGTCTTTTTATTTGGGGGTATTT